GATGTCGTAATGTCGACAAGATGCAAAGCCCCTTCTCAGTTATATAAACAGACAGATAATCGAAATCACGGTAGTTGTCAAAAACTTGGTTAATGGTTGTAATTGAGTTTGAGTTTTAAAAATACTGGGAGAACCGTTAATGCCAAGTTCAGTAGTGTTACCATTATTATTATTGTTGTTGTTGTTCCCGTTATCATCTAGAGGGTCAATGCGATCCGCACCATTCGAACACTTCTTCTTGGGAATACAATTCGTGTTATTGGGACAGCATTTGCCGTCATTATCCGTACATAGGAACTGTCCGGTTGCGCAAACGTCTGTAGATGATCTGCTTTGTAACTGTGAATTTGTGATGTCAGAACGACTTTGCAATTGAAATGACGTAGCCGTAGTAAAGGTAGCGGCGATGAGAACGAGTATTAGTGTGAAACTCTTCATATTGACGATCGAGTATGGGATGATGGTGATGATGCATATTAATATGGGTCAACGTCGCACAAGTATTGTGAGATCGGTAGTACCGAGTACCATATAAAGTTCACTGGGCAAAAACTGATATTCCGGAATAAACTTTCTGACCGCTTTGTTAATAGTGCAAATACAATACAAGGTGTCATAGCGCGAACCATCACAATTTACCGGTAACTATGCTAATGCATACGCTTGCTGTTTTTGTTTTAATAGCCTCCTGAATTGTCAATGCATTATGATCAAATGCAACAGTTACGGTTTTAATGTTACATAGCCAGGACTGTGTAAAAGGTATAGGAGCGTTTCACACAAGCGAGCGGCAAAGTAAAAATTTGGAATTGAAATTAATATCGTGTCTGCACAGGCTGGAAGCGCTAACTAGCAGCTAGTACGCATCACTTGGCATATTGTATGTCACTATCACGCGTAAGCGTCAGTCGTTTTATTCACAAGTTGCTATATCATTGGTGAAATTACATTTTCTGCCCCCACACCCTCGAAAATACCATTTTAGCACCAACTGTTTTCAAGTACTGAATTGCAGACTCGTAAATTGCATTATATTCTTCTTCTGACACCTGCAACAATTGTATGATGGCGGCATTAAATATTTTCCAGATATCTTGCACGTCTTCCAGTCCCTTTGAATACAGAATTATTATATGAGTTGCGTTATCTTATACAGGTATCCATTGTAGTACACAAAATTAACACTCACCATTTCAGCCAGCTCTTCTCCCAAAGGTCCAACTGGAAGATTTTTTTCCTCGTAACTTATATTATTATAACGATTACCTTCTTCCAGAA